CCCCAGAAACACAATCAAAAGAAAAAAAAATAAACTGTAGATGCCTTCCTGAACGTTAATTGCATTTTCTCTCAAGGTGTCCAGAATAGAGTTTGATTTTGCTTTTGGATCCTGTTGCCCTCCTGTGGTCAAACCTCAGCAAGTCCAAGGACTGTTAAAGCTCTGCACGTCCTTCAAGCGGGCTCAATTATTTTGTGTGCATTTATTTTTGTCTGATTTAGTGAATTGTTTCTTTTCTCAGAGTCCTTGCCCTCGCTGTTTGCTCGCTGGAGCTCCCACTTACATGTTTGAAGATCTCATCCTCTCACACTGCTGTGAGTTTGGCTCTCAGAATGATTTACCTTTTTTACTTTGAAACAAAGTCAAGACTTTCACAGGGGAGTCCAGGGATACCAGAACACACCTGCATTCCTCCCGAGGGTCTGGGGTCAGCTGCCCCTTTGTTAGGCCTGTTCAAAACCCACAACTGATTTATTTTCCTGTGATAAGAGGGTTTAGAAAAGCTGGGAATGTCGTGCCTCCTGCACACCCTAAATTGCAGGATCAGAGCCTGGATTATCTCCTGCAGGCCCGGAGGTGACTCACCAATAGCATCATAAGACAATTTACTTCAAAACACCTACAATACTTAGCTAAGTTTTAGAGTTGTATAACACCGTGGGTTGTTGATTTGATATTTTGTCACTTCCTTTTTATTCTTCTGCCTTTCTTCCTAATCGTTGGAACTTAGTTTGTCAGTTTATACCAAGCTGGAATTTAGCTGGCAGGATAATTGGATCTCCTAGAAAAATGTCATATTAAGTAGGAATTATGGATAATGCCCCTGCAAAATTAGTTAATGGAAAAAACGTTTAATTGCTGTAATATCGATCAAATGAGTAATATCGATCAAATGAGTAATATCGATCAAATGCAGTTATTCTACCTGTGCATTTCTGTATTAGATACCATGGAACCTGCACAATACAGGCACTTGTGCTTGCTCAGCAGCAAAAATTCACACTTCTCCCTGCTGAGGGCCCTGAGCTTTCTGTGGGCCCTGACCTTGAGTTTATCCCAGCTCCTCTGGAAGGTGCCTCCATCAGCAGCTCCCCAAACTCTGTGCTGCTCTCTGGGTCCCTAATGAAGCCGTGGGGCAGCACAAGCACCAGCAGAGCCCCAGTTGATGACCAGCTGTCAGCTGGACCCCGAGCCATGCTTTCTGCCCTCTGAGCCCGTGGTCAGGCTGGGTCCAGCTGTGATTGCCCAGCCCACCCTCCAGCGTGCTCACTGAATGATGTCAAAAACCCCAGCAAAGTCCAGGCAGTTCACATCTGCTGCTTTCCACCTTCCCCACAGCCTCTTGTCTCAGCCCAGAGGGCAGCTGTAATTGTCATCCTGTGACTGATTAAGATTCCTGGCTCTTTCTCCTCTTATGTTATTTCCAGCTGAGGAGCTCATAATTTTCTGCTATTAATCCCAAAGACCATGACCTTGTATTTCGCAGCACTGAATTTCAACCCCTTTCTACTATTCCAGTCCTCAAGGCTCGCAGCTTTTCATCTTCTCTAGAATACTGTGATCCTTCCCTGGATTTTAAATGACTCTCATCTTTGATGGCAAGTTGACTCAGAATAGGGAGCTTGAGAAATTACAGCATGAAAGGAAGTAAACTTGGCATGGGCTTGGCTTCAGGGTAGTAGTGTTCTGTGTTGAGCTACAGAAGAATTTTTAGTGAAAAATTTTTCTTGCAATCCCCAGAGCATGGGAAAATCATTTCCAAAAGATATATAGGGAGTGAAGGGAGTGTGACCTAGAAAAACTAGTAAGATGCATATGTCAAATCCAGTTAATTTTTTTTTGCTAATGATACTGATCTATATATATAAAATGCTGAATAGAACACTTATCTTTCCTGTGTTTGGCCTTAAGCCACATTCCCCATCAAAGGCAGAGAGACCCTGTTGACACTTTCCTGGTGAGTAAATCAGTCATGAGAGCAACATATTTCTTTTCCGAGAAACATATAGAAAGCCATGTACTGGAAACTAGGACTCCTGGCTTTCCCAGAGCTCAGCATATTCTTAAAACAAAGGTATCCAGGCTCCATCCTACCTTCTCCCTTGCCTGCCTAGCAAACCCTGTGGACTCATCATACTGCTGCTGACCACCCTGATACTTTTTCCCACTTTTGGATGCAGTGAGAGGGGGCAAAGCGCCCCTCACCCCGTCCCTGCACACCCACTCGTGCACTGGACCCTTCATAGCTGCCCATCCTTGCTGCAGACATTTTCTCTTTTGCCAGATGTGAATGAGGCAGTGCAGTAATTTTATGCAAATCCATGTGCAGATTAAAAAATTAATCAAATTCTGAAATTTTCATTTAAAGAGATTAGTCTTGAAAAATCCCCCATCTAATCCTCCCAGAATAGTCACTTGGAACAAGCCTTCAGTGCGTTGTTTCCCTCCTGGGTTTAGTGCATCTCCTGGAAAATTTTCTTGTAATGCTTTTGGGACCATGTGGAGCAGCAAGCCCGGGTTTGAGCAGGGCTCACCAGGCAAATTAAAGTTGATATATCAAATGATAGAGGAGATGTTTAAGGAACGGGGGAGTTTAAGGCAGTAAAATCTCCACTTTGTTGTACTTCATAGGTAAATTCCCCTGGTGATGCAGGAGGAATGGAAGCAGGGAGCCTTGGTGAGCCTGTCAGTAATTTACATGCTGAGAGGCCAGAAAAAAGTCACGCAGCAAGAAAAACGAGGAACAAGAGACACTGCTAAAACTTGCTGTGTCTGGGAGTTTACTGCTGTAATCTGTCTCTTAGAGCTTGAGCTCAAAATTATCCTCCAACAACTGGGGTTTGATCCAGTGCTATCTCAAATATTTTCCTAGCCCCTCGGGGATTTTGAAGCTGACCCTGTGGAAGGTGTGCCAGCCACCAGTCCTGGAGGAAATCCAGAGGCATCCTGACAGCATTGGAACTAAAGTAACTTAGGTCCCTGTTCTCAGTTAAATCATGTATTCTGGCACAGCATCCTCTGATCTCACAGCACCTGAAATGCTCAGGATGTCTGTGTGGTTGGGTTGGCCTGCAATAAGCTCAATTGCCCCAAGTTCAAAAAAACCACAAGCCCAAGATGCAAATCCTTGAACAAACCTCCAACCACAGCACCTGGAACAGCTCAGCTCTGCCCAGTGATGGCAGACTGGCCCCTAGAAAGGAGTAAAGGAGTATTTTTCTAGCTTTCAAGTACCTGCCATGGAGTCAGGTGCTGGCTCATTTTTTTCACTGCATGGGCATGGCCAGCTCATTTGTTCACTGTTTTCTTCCCCAGTGTGCCTCCAAGTTTATGGCCCAGACTCTGCCCTGCTATGTCCATGCTTTTGGTCTCTTGCCACCATCCAATTTACTTGGCAGCTTTACCACATTTCTGCCCCTACTGCTGGATTCTTTCTGTCTCCCTCTGACTTTGGCTCCTTGCCTGCAGAATTGCTTTAATTAAAAAGTTAATGAAAGGTAATGCAAACGAGCGTTTTGCCTGTATTTTATCACAGTCCAGCTCCTTCCCCTCCCTCTTTCCCAGAGAAGGTGAAAATGAGAACCTGGGGTTTTGCTGCATTTTGGTGTGAGAGCTAACAGTGGAAATTTCTACAGGCTTAGGAGGAGCCCTCTGAAGAAAGGGCTTATAATGGTGTGTGTAGATTATTATAAGTGCGTAGATTATTCATGAATGAAAGCTGAGGAAGTTTTCATTTAAAGGGGATTAATCTAAACCCCTTACAATCCTCCAGCTCTCTTTGGAACAGGCAATTCTTAGCATCATTTTCATCCTAAGCTTAGTACAAACTTACAGAAAACTTTTCAAAAGACTATATCCCAACTCCACATTATCCCAACTAGGGACAAAGAGAAGGTGTGAAACCTGAACCTTGTGCCTGTAGCTTGTCACCTTATATCCATACAGAAGGGGGCTCATTCATCCTTAAGTGATTTTCCTGAGAAACTGGGAAACTAAGATTAGTGCATGAAGTAATATGAGTCACATCATCAGCCCCTTCTCCCAGCCCAGATTCCTCACAGCCAGCAGTGGGAAGAGGAAAAGGCAGGGATGTGAGGGTGTAATTTCCCCTCGTGCAATATGTAGCAGTTAACAGGCAATTACACCACTTCTAAACCCACCATCTGGGGAGGGAGCATGAGAGCTGCCATTTGGGTTATTTTTCTTTCCACTACTGCCTGTGTTTTGGGGTGATATTCAGTTCTCTTGATCTTGTTTTTAAAGCCTTAGTAAAATGAGTAGGAGTTTTATTTTTTGTTAATATCTACAGTGGATTTCATAGCACTGATTTATAGCTGTTCCCTGATGACATTTAGTACCCAGTGCCTGAGACTGTATAAATAAATTACATAAAAAGGGATTTGTGGTATCATTAGCAGCACCCCCATTCCAAGGGGAGTCTCCAGTGAGCCTGTGTGTCTAATCAGAGCTGACAAGGAGCAGAGTCACACACTGAGACATCCAAAGCAAATGGATCTGTGCCAAATTCAGCTCTCTGTTGCACTGGTATAACGTTGGATAACCTCAGAGCACTAGGGGGTTTTACACTGTATTTACTCTGCCTTTACACCTGTGCTCTGAGATCAGTGCCAGGCAGTGAACCCCAAAATCCTGAGATGCAGTAGAAAGGCACTTGCTGGCTTCCACAGGCTCTGGATCAGGCCTCGATGGTTAAAATATAATCTGAGTTCAGAGTGCAGAAAACAGATTACATGCCTGCTATTGTACTGAAATGCTTTCCAGAGTAAGCATTAGCAGTATGTACACAAGTGCCAGAATTAAGCTGCATTTAGTTTTCCCACCTCCAGTAGGAGAGGACTGCCTTTAAAGAACTCCTGCCTGCTGTGTGGTGTCTGGAGCTGCCAGGAGGGCACGTGTGACAGAGCCACGGCTGCAGGTCTGCTTGTGCTCCATTTCCCCTGCAGGTCTGCTTGTGCTCCGTTTCTCCTGCAGGTCTGCTTGTGCCCCGTTTCCCCTGCAGGTCTGCTTGTGCTCAATTTCTCCGGGCTTCAGGGTCAGCGGCGCGCAGAGACATCAAGGCAGAGACAAAGCCTGTTAAAAACTTTGGGGCTTTATTTTCTTAAACTCCCCTGCCTCCCTTTAAGCTTTTGTTCTCCAGCCTTTCCTGCAAACCTGTATTGCAGCTCAGACGAGGTGACCTGGGGTGTGATGCACCTCTGCTTTGTAGCACCTTCCTCTGATTGCACAGTGCCCGGGGCCAGGTGAATCAGAGACCTGCTGGGAGCAGAGATGCTTGTCTCAGTTCCTGAGAGGTGCAGGGCTGACCTCCCTGCGGCCAGCACAGTTACTCTGGCCCTCACTGGAGTGGGGTCAGTGGTTTCAACTGCTGGCAGCATCAGCTGCCATGAAGTTTAAGAATTTAGTAACAAAGTGGTCAGGGCACCCTGTCTTTTGTTCTCCTGTCTCCTCGTGGTTGAAAAGCCATTCCTGACAGCACCTAAAGGGAGTACACATAGGTAGTTAATCTGCCTTGGCTTTTGGCTTTAAAATCTGTTCTCCTAAGCAATGAATCGTTTACTGCTAGCCTTGTTCTTAAGGGTCTTTCCCCACTTCCTGGGGTTCTTTCTCTGACAAACTTTTGATTCTCTTTATAGCCTTACCTACAAGTCCCTTGTCCCAGTATTTCAGAGTGTTCCCAGATTTCAATGCCTGAGAAGGTGTGTAGAGGTTTTCTCTGTAGATCTTTTGGGTCCCTGCAGCAAATTAAGGCAGATTTAGACCCAGAGGAGCTGTTGAAAAGCTTGTCCAGCTTAATGATTAACACCTTGCAATGCTAGGGAGTGTCAGGACAAAGAGACCTCTGGACTCCTGAGCTCTCCTAAAAGAAGCCCTTGCACAAAACACATCCCTTTACTTGAGAGAGGATTAATTCTCTCTCAGGGAATTTCAATGGGTCTGTGATCAAGTGTGTTGCCCTGGCTGCTTCAGCCTCCTGGCACCCTGCCTTAAATGCCATGAGCAGGAGAGATGCAGATCACAAGGATCTTTGATCCTCAGAAACCAGCAGTGAACTTGCTGCCAGTTAACAGAAGGAAGGAGAAATGCTGGGAGGGAATAGATGTGTGTGTGCTGGCAGGGGCCACCTTTCCTCTGTCAAGACAAGTATCTGCCCTTGAGCAGCTGAGATTTTTTGGTCCATGCACAGATCTGCTGCAGATAATGCTAATGCTCAGTGGAGAGCAGCTCAAATGGGCTTTCACAGACACTTTGCCTGGATATGAACTCTTATTTGGGCTCTAAATGTGATTTTAATGGATAATGAGGAGTAAAAGAGAAAGGTAAATTAAGCCTTGTGTTAATTTGCTGTTTGGTGAGGAAACCTCATTACTGGTCTCTCTGTGGCCACCAGCAGCAAGGGATGGGGCAGCCAGCAAGGCTGTTGTTTCTCCTCAGTCCGTGTCTGATGCTGCAGGGACACATGGGGCAATGCACAGCCAGAGGATGACATCAGCATTTGGCTGGCATGGGGAAGGGAGTTAATGTAGTGAAAAGCTGTTCCACCCAGATGCCCTGCTCTCTCCAGGACAGAGAGCAGCTTCCACAGTTTGGAGATGTGTCAAACGCTAAGCAAATAGAAATGATGGCTTGCCAGTGGCAAATCTACAGTGATGGAGGAGCTGGCTGGCAGAGCTCACCTTCCCTGCAGGAGGTGATGAGATTGCAGGGGAATCACAAGCTGACAGATAGTTTGAATGTGACACTGTCCTTCCCTTCCTCCTGCCTGGGGAAAAGTTAGAAAATGCTGCTTGTATGACACCTTAATCTAGGGGAAACAGGAGCTAGAGTTCCACAGTTCATGTTTTGACCTCTCTGTTCTTTCTGTGACAGCCCTGTCTCTTCTGCTAGCCAAAGTGTTCACTTTCCCTTGCAGGTCAGAGGCTGCTGGCTGTTTCAGCCCTTGGTGCCTTGCCAGCGGTGGCAGGAGTGCAGAAGCCCACCTCACAAGGCAGAGGGGCTCAGCCCTGGCAGCCTGTGCCCCATGTCCCTCCGCGAGCACGCGCTGTCCCTGTTCCGCGGCGCCCTGGGCACCGTCCGCCCCGCTCCCATGCTGAGGAGGGCTCTGAAGCTCCAGGGAGATGGGAGCCCTCAGCTGCTGGTCAAGGGCCAGGCCTTTCCACTGAAGAGGGACCACCTGTACCTGGTGGGTTTTGGAAAAGCTGTGCTGGGGATGGCTGCAGCAGCAGAAGAGATCCTGGGAGAGCACCTCACTCGGGGGATTATCAATGTGCCACTGGGGATCCAGGAGAGCCTGCAGCGAGCAGGAATGCAGTAAGGACTGTTTCTGGGCAGTTTTGGGGAGAAGGGAGGAGGGGTATAAGCTGCCAGATTTTCCCTCTGTGGGATATTGCTATGAACACCTTAAGTCCTTCTGAGCTGCCCTTGCTTTGCTGCCCACCCCATCCACCCCACTGTTCTCATCTTCAACCACCATCACATCCCAGTGACACCAGGAATGCAGCTCACCTCTTGTGCTGGGTGTGCTGCCTCTCTGGCTGTGGGGAAGAGACACTCAGCAAAGGCTTTGTGTCCTGGTCACTCCCTGTATGCCACTGGTACCCCAGGCACCTGCAGGTGACAGCCTGGCTGCCTGTGTGGGTGCACAGATCCGTGGTGTAATTGCCTCTCTTACCTCAACAGGGAGATGCTGCTGAAGCCACACAGCAGAATCCAGGTCATCGAAGGTGCCAAGAACAACCTCCCAGATGCAGAGGCTCTGAAGGGAGCAGTTGCCATCCAGGAGCTGGCTGAGAGTCTGACTGCAGATGACCTGCTCCTTGTGCTCATCTCAGGTAGTGTGGGGATCCCAGGGAGTGGGATCTGCTGAGGCCCCCAGCTGCCTGCCCACCCCTGACCCTGCAGCAAGGGAGTGCTGTGCTGTGCCAGCCCCTTCAGCACAGACACTTGCACCTCTGATTTTCCCTCTGCCTTCTGCCATCCTTCCTCCAGGCGTGCAGCAAGGGAGAGCACAGGGCTTCCTGCTGCTCACTCCCAGCACTGGAAAGAGGCTGAGCTGCACAGGCTGGGTCCTGCAGCTGTGCCACCACAGAGAAGTGGCACCTCTGAGCACAGCCTGGCAGCTGTTCCCACCTCTTGGCAAGGAGACACTTTCTTCCTGCCCCCTCCTTACCTTTGGGGACGCAGACTTGGAGAAGCAAGCACCTGGTAGATTTGCATGCTCCGCCTTTGTGCAGGAGCGTGAGTCTGAAAGCTGAGCTCTGGGACTGACCTTTCCCAGGGCTTGGCTCCTTCCCAGCTAGTGGAAATGAGGCCTCCAGGTAGCACACAGTAAGCTGCATGCCTTGCAGGGGCAGCCCTGCACACCCCCAGGGCTGGCTGGTGGCCCCCAGGCTGTCCCCAGATCCAGGGCTGTGCAAGAAGATGCATCAGAGGGATGCAGTGACATCACCTCATCCTGAGCTCAGTGGCAGAAGCATGCAGGGGCTTGGAGCAGCTCTGCAGAAAGGCCTTGTTCTCCTCTGCTCAGTGTTTATTCCTCTGTGGATGCTGCAGCCTGATCCAGTACAGAGAGAGCAGTGCCATTAGGCAAACACCCAAGTGACTGGAAGCTAGCTGTGCTTTCTGGGGATTCCCCTGGGCTTCCTCCTGTCTTTTGGCTCCAGGGATCTCCAAGAGACTCCTCAGCCCTTCAGGGAGCCTGAACAGGATCTCCCCGTGGCTGTGACTCCCTGTGCATGTGCACTCCCACACAGCAGCCGGTCCCCAACTGCTCCTGCCTCTCAGCTAGATCCCTGGCTATTGACTGAAACACAGGCATTTGCATTTGTTTTTCTTGCTCATCATGTTTTATTGATGCTGATTTGTCTCAAACCTCTGAGCAGGCTTTGCATTTTGACAGTAGCATTCAGCTGTACTTCTGTGCACGTTCACTCTGTGCACAGACCTTGCTCTTTTCTCCTCTGTATTTTCAATCCATTCCACTTTTCCATTAGAACCTTTCCTTCTTTTCCACATTTCCAATGCCTGCTTGTGTCAGACAGAATTCCCAGCAGTGAAGCTATCACCCTGGACTCAGAGTGTTCTTTGTCCTTTGCATTACTGTCCCCCCTTTTCTCTCCTCCCAGGCCTAGATGAGTGCAGTTCAGCAGTTTCCAATCTTGCTGCATCCCTAGCCAGTGTTTTTACACACTGTCCTGAATAAATGGAGCACTAAAGCAGGCATGTGTGTCCCCATGTGGCTAGCACTGGCTGCTGTGTGAGCCATGGAGGCCATGGCTCCATGCTCACCCAGCCAGGTGACCCCTGAGTATCAGTGTGAGGAGCCAGCTCCAGCCCAGTGCAGAGGTGAGGGTGGGTGCTGTCCCTCTTCTGTCACCCCCACCACACTGCAGGCTTGTGGTGCCCCCATGCAGCCAGGCTCACAATGCCTGGGTGAAGTGTAGCTGACTGCAGAGAGTGCAGCACAGCAGTGATTCAAACCCACCATTGAGGATGACTGAATTCCCCAGAGGTGTTAGCTTAGGTCCCCAACCACCTCTGCCTTCCCTCCAGACACCTGTGAGGGAAAAGGCTAAAGCCTTGCTCTCCTTTGTCCTCTTTCTCCTGCTATCCTGATGTCCTTGCCATCTCTTCTGCATCCTAGGGGGTGGATCAGCCCTCCTGCCTGCTCCCATCCCTCCCATCCTCCTGGAGGAGAAGGAGAAGCTCACAAAGCTGTTGGCTTCCCGAGGAGCTGCCATACAGGAGCTGAACATCGTCCGGAAGACTCTGTCTGTGCTGAAGGGTGGAGGGCTGGCCCAGCTGGCACATCCTGCTCGGGTAACCAAGGGAAAGCCCCTGTCTGCCCAGACATCACCCATCTACCCTCAAAACACAGGTTTAAATCAGCTTGCCAGGTTTTTGTCCATACTGAGTGAACAGCTTTGCACACTGTTTTGGGGCTCCCTGGCTGAGATTTCACTTTGGACCAAAACTCTCAGGGAGACAGAGCTGGGAGAGTGGGAATTCAGACTTGGGAAACATCAGCCATCCCATCATGCCACTCTGCAGACCCCAGTCCACAGCCAGCAGGCACTTCCAAGTGTTGGTGCTTCAGCACAGTGCTTTCAAGGCTGGCCCTGACCCTTGGCTCCCCTGGTGGCTGTTCTCAGCGTGTCCCATTGCTGAACCACACGAGGTTGGGCCTGACAAGTGCAGTGTCACAGGTTACATCTTCCAGCATGATAGTCCAGCTTCAAAGGGGACTGTAAATCTGTGGGTTTGAGAAGGGCAAGGTGACACTCACAGGTCCATAAATTGACAATGGGTGAAGACCTACCCTGTTTCCATCTGCTTTGATGTGGGGATGGAACTCAGAGCAGTGCTTATGCCATGGCTCATTTGTGGTCACCTGTCTTTGCCTCCTGCAATAATCTGTGGGCATTTCTTTCCATAGGTGGTGAGTCTCATCCTGTCTGATGTGATAGGTGACCCCCTGGACATCATAGCGAGTGGGCCCACTGCTCCCAGCTCCCACAGTGTCCAAGACTGCCTTCAGATACTCACCAAATACAACCTGCTGCACAGCCTGCCCAAGTCAGTGGAAATGGTCCTCTCCAGCTCTCCCACCAAGCCCACTGCTCCAGAAAACTACTCCCACGTTTCCAACATCATCCTTGGCTCCAACAGGCTGGCTCTGGAGGAGGCCAGGTGCCAGGCTGAGGGCCTGGGCTATGCAGCCCTGGTGCTGAGTGCAGCAGTGCAGGGGGAAGTGGGCCATGTTGCCACCCTGTACTGCCAGCTGATCCAGCTGCTCTGCCTGGGCTTCAGCAGCCTCGCAGAAGGGCCCCTGGGGGACGAGCTGAGGGGCAATCTCCTGCAGCTGGCAGCAGAGCTGCAGATCCCAGGCTTGCACCTGGAGGAGTTCCTACAGGCCCTGAGAGGATTGGGGCCTGACAGACCAGTCTGCATCCTGGCTGGTGGAGAAACCACAGTCCAGCTCCAAGGAACAGGAAAGGGAGGGAGAAACCAGGAGCTGGCCCTGCGTGTGGGGCTGGGGCTGCACAGGGCCCAGGCCACAGGAGCCAGCAGCCCTCAAGGGAGGTGTGAGATCCTCTTCCTCAGTGGGGGAACAGACGGGCAGGATGGGCCAACGGAGGCAGCAGGAGCCTTCTGCAGCCCAGGGCTGGTGGCTGAGGCACTTCAGGAGGGCCTGGATGTGGATGCCTTTCTCAGGAACAATGACTCCTACATGTTCTTCAGCCAGTTTCAAGGTGGGCATCACCTCCTGGTGACAGGCTTGACAGGCACCAATGTCATGGACATCCAGGCCATTTTAATTAGAGCCACGGAGAGATCATGAGAGCTCCCTCTGCAGACACCCAGATGCACTTAATTAGGAGCAGGAGTAAATGAAAGGACCAATGCTGTGGACAAATGCAAACTACTTAAATTAGGGCTCACTGTTGAGGCTGCCAGTGTCTTTGACAGAAAGAATCCACTAATTAGATACATCAGTGGACATCCACAGCAAAAACAAGCACTTGTAATTGGTGGGATCAGAGGAAGGTAAGAGGTCACATTACAGACAAGGAAACTGGATTTAAGGCTTGTGACTGCTCCAGCTATGGTTAATTTAAGAGATGTAGGGAAGTTGAGGCCATTTGCAGGGCTACCATGGAGAGCCCTTGCTGCACTGTTGCACTTGTGGTGCTCCCAGCTAAGAGCAGCTCAGCAGTGGGGTTTTAGGGGTCCACTGGAGCAAATTACAGCAAGGCCTGCTCACATGAAGCATGGAGCTGCTGGGGGGATGTGCTGGGAAGGGGACACCCAGCACCTGCTCCACAAGCCAGCACAGTGCCCTGCAGCTCTTCCCACAGCAGGGTACTGAGATGACAGAGACCCCAGGCCCAGCAGGATGCACAGCAGGAGTGTGGCTAAGAAGCACACTGGCACAGAGAAGTTCTTGATACTGGCTGGGTGACACAAGCAGTGCACAGTGACAAAGAGGACGACATACCTTCACTGTACAGTGTAAGGATGGGGATGAATGAAGCGCAGTGACAAGCCAGCTGTGTGGAGTCCTCCTCCAGCCTCCTTCCCTCCACAGCAACATCTTCCCTGCTGGTCCCTGTTGGGAGAGCCTGTGTGCCAGCAGCTTGTATGCTATGAGCTTTCATGGTGTTGTTTTCCAGCTGTAGAAAACTGTCGTGCATCCAGCCTGAGCCACTGACCTTTCCTCTGCACTGAGGCAGAAGTTGCTGTCATTCTGATTAACTCTGCTAATTCCACAGAACAAAAGACAAGGAAACCTTCGTGCTCAGCTCTCCTGACCCATACTGCTGAGCTGATCAAAGGGCAGATCTGCCAGAGCTGTGCTCTGACAGGGAGCTGCTCCCCCCACATGCACGAGGACACAGTTTTTGTCACCTACTGCAGTGTGGTATGTGGGAGAGCAGAGATGAGCTCGGTTTCCCAGGACAGGGAGCTCACAGTGGGGCTGGATTTCAGGAGGGCTTTGCCTGCAGCAACAGGCACACTGATGGTTTGGCTGGGTATTCAAAGGGCTTTAGCTCAGCAGCCAGGATGACCCAGCACGTCCAACTCCTTTTGAATATCCGTCTGTTTGTTACAGAGTCTAAGTGGGAGCTGAGCTCCTTTGAAAATCCAGCTCTAATGTAATAGGACACGCTTGACTCAGACTCTTTCCAGACAGCCCGACCTACTCCGTGTGCCTGATCTCATCTCGTGACATAAATACACCCTTGTGCCAACAGCCTGTGGTGTCTCACTGAACAGTCACTTGTTCTGCACCCCACTTCAAGGTGGATCAGAAGGTGGGGTTTTGTGGAGGATGCAAAACCTCCTATTTTGGTTTTGAAGCCAGTATCTAACAAGTAGGGATATCAGCAGGACCATCGTGGGGCCTGCTGTCGATGCCAGGCTGGCAGCTGGACATTCTGGGCTACAGCCCAGGCTCAGAATAAGGCACAACCCTGGGAATTTCAAAACCCCACTCTTGCCTGGTGGTTTAAACTCATCCATGCATCTCATTTGTCCTCAGAGTCTGAAGGTCTTTTGTAACATGCCTGAACTTGCTCACAGTGGCAAACAGCTCTGAGATCTGCTGGGGAAAATCTGCCAAGCATTACAGAGCTCGCTGTGCCCCCTGTAATGTCAGGGGTGGTTGTGCAGGAGAAGCTGCTTTGTGCCCTGTGTTTTTCTCCAGAGGTCGCTGGCAGGTCGCCTGCTCCATGCCCAGCAGGGCAGCTCCACGGGGCACTAACACAGCCACAGGTGTGGGCTGCAGCAGGACAGCTGGGTGAGGCTGGCTCCACACTGCTGGGTGCTCCCTGGGCCATTCTGCTCCAGCAGAATGCAGAGTGACTCCCTTTCAGGCTGGGGTGCCTGGCAGAAGGGTCACTTCAGCAGCAGACCAGTGTGCCAGCCTGGGCACACTGCCACCACTGCCACAGGGCCACCACAACCCCCTGCCCACAGCTCTGCCACACTGCTGAGCACCACCCTGGACCTGGAGCTGCTGCTTGTGCTGCCTCCCAGTCAATTCCAGAGGACCTTGGGCTAGTGCTGGCTGGCTTCTCCTGGGAAATGCCTGCTCCAGGTAGCCCCAGCAGTGTCCTTGCTTCCTGAATGGTGGCTTTTCATAACGATTAAAGAGTGTGTGTTGGGGAGGAGAGAAGTCTAATAAAAGCTTTGTTGAAAGGATGGAGCTGTTTGAAGTGCATTTCCCATCTACCTTTGCTTGGCTGCCATATATGGATTTTTGTTCTTGTCCTTTCTTTCCTAATGAGGAGATGACAGGCCAGGGGGAGGTTCAGCAAGAACACCCAGGCTACAGAAATACTTCTCTGATGCTTCTGCCTGGATAACTCAAAGCTCCATTTCCAAGGAGTTGCTTTAGTGGACCCTGTGCAACTTCTGCCTAGGGACAAAAGGAGCACTGGAGTGTGCTCAGCCCTCCCAGACAAAGCAGCATCTCATTCCTCTGGACAGTGCTCAGCAGGGAATTGTCTGCTATCACTCCAGCCCAAGGCCAGCTCCCTCTGACCTGCAGTGCCTTCACAAAAGGTCAAAAGGCCCCATGCATGAGCCAACATACCTTTGGGCCCCACTGGCCAGGTTTAACAGGATTTGTGAGATAACACAAATCTTAAGACACGAGAGAGAGCATGGCTTACCTGCCTGGTAATGATTTGCCTCTGGGCTGGCAGGGCTTGGCAGGAGCAATGACTTTCCCATTGGGAACTCAAGTGAGTCACCAGAGCTGAGCAGGCTTTGCAGCTTGTCCTGGATGGGATATTGCCCTCATGAGAGTAAAGCTGTGCAAATGAAGACACCAGAGTGTGGCTGCAGTCACAGTGAGCAGCCCCAGTGTGTGGGCTGTGCTGGGACCGGCTCTGTGCCACCCTGGCTCTGGTGCTTGTGCCTAAGGAGAAAAGTCACAGAGAGAGTGAGGACAGTAAGAGACACAGGGACTTGATGCTCACAGTCCCTTCCCTTTTTATCAGAAAAGCAGAACTTTCTACACCAGCCAGCCTTCAGGAAGGAGCCAGGTGGGTGAAGATGGCCAGCAGCTCCCCAGCCATATCCCTACACATGGGCAGGGGACAGTGGGTGGGGAAAACGTGCTCAGATGCTGTGTGGGGAGCAGGTGAACAAAGTCTGGGCGTGTTCAGGGTTGATTTGCTCTCCCAGGTCGGCAGCTCGTAGCCAAACAGGGCTAACGGCCGGGGGAAGTAACAGCGTTATTAACAGCACGAGCTTCTGGCAGTAAATTAAAAATCTTGGCTGCCGCCCTTGGCTCTGCTCTTGCCTCTTAGAAGACATTAATATCACAGCTCCCCAGCATTCCCATTATCACTTCATTAAGGATCCAATAATGATAAATGTGGATGGTTTTATTTTGCACAGAGCCTGATTAATGGCCAATAATTCACTAGGTGTTAATGGGGCCCTTCCTTTATGGAGGCATTGGAAGGGGCTGCCTTTCATCTCCTCCACAAGCCACAATTTTCACCATTTTCGCTAATGTGACAGATATAACACAAACCTTGAAAGAGTGGCTGAGGCCTCTTGAGAAACCTTGAAGAGCATCGTGCCTGGGGCAGCCCTTGCTGTTGTGGCCATTCCTCAGCATCTTTTTCCTCTTCCTCCTCCCCTGTGCTGCTGGCAGTGCCTGCATATCCCAGGACAGTCAGGGACAAAAGCAGAGCAGCAGATTCCCCAGGGATCAGCCCACCAGTGCAGTCACTGGGGCTCTCCACACAGATGTGGTGCAGAACCAGGCCCACCCTTGCAAGGGGCTGCAGTGCAAGGAGTGGGCTTGTGCCAGCGTCACCCCAAAGCAGCCTGGCACCCCTCACCTGCATCCCAAGAGTGCTGGAGAGCCTGGGATGCAGGATGAGCTCAGGCTGAGGCCAGCAGTCCCCCTCCAGCCCCTGAGGACAGCTCTGGTGGCTCCTCTGAGGCCGGCTCCCGTGGCACAGGGGCTGCTCTCTGCCGCAGGAGCCCGGCGTAGTGCACGGCTTCAATCCCTATATGAAGTGGGATGTATAATCACATAGGAATAAAAAGCCATACAAGACAGCAGGCTGGGAGATGCTCCGTGCTGGAGGATGATGGGACAGTCCCTCTGCCCGGGCTGCCACGGCCCTGCTGGGATGGAGCCGGACCCCAGGGAGCCCCAGGATCCCCCCAGCCCCTGCATGGCGTCTGTGGGGACACACAGGAGCCCTGCATCAAGCAGAGGAGAGAGGCGATGTGTCAGCCAGGAGAAAGCTTGGGAGGCCCCAGAGCTGCTGCAGAGGGAGCCCCAGGAGGTGCCAGCACTTGCTCCCAGCTCTCCCAGCTAACAAGGGCCTCCCATCCCAACTCCCTGATAGGGGCTGCGACAAGACTTGGTCTGTGCAGCACCCAGACCTCCTTCCCTCTCACAGTGCCCATGTGGGAGCACCACCCTGCAGGAGCTCCTCCAGCCTGGGAACCCTCTGCTTGTACCACCACTGTCCCCCAAGGCTTTACCAGCCCCACCAAGGCAGTGGGCACCACAACCCTCCAGCCCCACCAAGGCAGTGGGCACCACAACCCTCCAGCACCATCACAAACACCTGGTGAAGGGAGAAAAAGGAGCCAGCCTCCTCCCTGTGGCAGTCAGAGCATCCTTCTCCATCTTACCAGGGAGAGGAGCCCAGCAGCTGGAGCGAGCAGTTGCAGGGAGCTGTCAGCACCCAGCTGTCAGATCCCAAATCCCCTGGCAGCCCATTAGGAGCAGCTCCTGGCTGCCTGCAGGAGCTCTTGACAGGGGACCAGGCACTAACATGGATCCTCCTCTAAGGAGGTGGATGTGGGTGGAGGGAAAGCAGGGAGCTGTTCCTCAGTGAACACTCAGAGAGCAGCACTGGCACAACCAGGGCAGGGAGCCCACCCAGGCAGTGCTGGGGATGAAGCCAAGGGTGGCCAGCAGAAAGAGCTGTTTGTGCCACCTCCTCTCCCCCTGCCTTTCTGCTCACATCCCAGCAGCGATTCTGGCATCCACGGGATGGCAGAGCTGGAGCAGTGCCTGGGGCAGGAGAGAATGGGTGCTGGGTGCAGGCTCATGCAGTGCAGCCCAGACTGAGAAGGAAGGGTCTTCTAGCTAAAAAAAAAAACAAAAAAAAACCAACCAAAAACAAAAAGAAAAAAAAAAACCAAACCAAAGGAAAAAAAACCCCCAAACCAACAAACAAAACCAAGACAAATAAAAACTCCACACCAACCTCCCCTGCAAAACAAACCGAACAGCAAAACCCCCCCAGCAAAGTGGCAATACACTGTTTGGTTGCCACACAGCACTAAAAAACTTTTTGCTGGCCAAGATAGCACAGCCAGCCAGCAGCCTCCAGCTGAGCACTATGGTGTTGTCTTAAGCAGCTCCAGAGGGGCTGAGCCACCCCAGAACCATCACCCCGGGCTCCCCTTAAGCCTGCAGGAGGAATTCCAAGCCTCAGGCTGCCTTTCCATGCCACAGGGTAGCACTGGGAACATCCACACTCTTCAAAACACTGCCAGAAGCCTTCCTCCACCCCAGTGCCCAGGTTTCTCCAGGGGCTGGGGCTGTGCAGAAGGGTGGGCTCTGACCATCATCCCTCGTGGGATGTCCCTGCCCACACTGGATGGGCAGAGTCCTGAGGCAAGGCTCTCCACATGTCCCCTCCCTGGGCAGTGTAGGCAGAGGGCTGCCAGACCCCAAGGAAGGGGGATCCATCCCCACAGAAGCTTTTATCAGTGTAAAACCTGGGGGGTTTGGCTTTCCACGTCAGAATTCCAAGGCTGTCACCAAGAGCTGTGAAGAGGTGAGCATCAAACCACATCTGTGCCACTTTTTGGGAGGATGGAGAGGATGGAGAGGGGGACAGCCCTGGCTTTCCTTCGGCCAGGCTGTGCCACGGAATTTGCCACATTAGGCACCGTGACTTTTTCAAAAGCACAAATCCCACAGTTTGAGGGGCTTGGCCCAGCCAAAATCCCCAGCAAAACCCAGACAGGAACTGAATGGTGCCGGGCATTGGGGTGGCAGGGAGGGGACACTCCCAGGGACCCAACACCGGAGGGCAGCGCCGGGTCCCGATCGCTCCTTCACTGCTCCAGAGCGAGTCGGCAATTACGGGATCATGAGCTGATGAATTGTAGGAAAAGATGCGTTTGTGAATCACCGCACCCCGGCTGGGTACGAACACTGCCAGCGCTGTATTTGGGAGCAATTACTCTCCCCGAGCATGTGAATCATTAGGTATAATTACCCTAATAAATAAAAGGAAGATAACTCCAGTCTCTAGCCTAATCTAGAACAAGCGATTTTCGAGGAGAGCTGTATGGAATAAAAGCAAGAGCACAAGGCAGAGGGAAAGCAGGGAGAGGAGAGCTTCAAAACCTGGATGTGCTGTTAATCCTTCCCACAGGAACCAAAGTGGAGTCTCTCCCACAGGTCCTCACTGGAGTCTGGTGGCAGAGAATTTGCCATAGAGGGCTCCGTTTGGATGCAGCAGGGTTGTCCCTTCCCAAGGCAGCATCCCACCGGAGCACAACTTCTCTCGGCAAAAGTTTCCCTGCTACAAAAATGCAAACAGGTTAAAAAAAAAAAGCTAAACAGATTTATTTTGGAGACGATGGGGGAGCAACAGTAACTCAGTCTAATGAAACCGTTTTGCTTTTCCCCTGGGAAACACCGGCATGAAAAAAAAAAAGAAAAAAACAACAAAACTCTAAGCCCACCCCACTCAAAGTTGACATTTTGAAACGAAGCAGCAATTTTCTTCTCCACTTAAAATGTCATCACAGACTTTTGCTGTAAAAAAAAGCAGCTTTCCCTGAGTGACATTTTGAGGGGAAATGTTGACTTAAAACCAGAAGGAAACCCCCAGTCCATGCAATGAAATGTTTCGAGCTGAAGTGAGACTCCTTGCAGGGAAATTGATATTTTTTGCAGGAAAAAAACAAAAAAACCCCACCCCCAGCTACACATATTTAGTGGTTTGAATTTCCCACAGGAAAAACCCATTCTCAAGGAGGCAAGACTTTGGGAAAGGATGGAGCAACATCACTACTACTGTTCTGGAAGAAACAGCAAACAGCATCCCTGATTCTGGGCAAGTTTCCTCAAAAGCTTTGCAAAAAACCAGTAGTAGAGTCTGTTTGTCCCAGCAGGTGCCAGGCAGGTGGAGCTGGCTCTGTCCTGTCCCTGCAAGATGCCAGTGCAGGAGCAGTGGGGAAGATGCCAAGGCCAGGGGGTGCTGGCACTGGACTGGGGAGCCCTGGTGAGCAATAGCAGGGTTTATCCCACAGCCTTTGAGGGAGAAATTGGATTTAGGCTGTGACTCATGGGAATCCTGCTTGTTCCCAAGGGAGAAAGAGGATTGTGGCTCACTCCTCCTGTGCTTGCAAGAGGGGCTGGGCTCTGCCCAGAGATGCTCCAGGAGATGGGGCCGGGCCTGCACTCTCCTCTTAGGTGGGGTTTGACCAGGAACAATCTGTGCTCGGGCTCTCCCTGGGGCCACGGTTATTGCTGCCTGGGTTCTGTTTTTTTTAATAAACCTGTAATATGAGAAGCCTGCCCAGGAGAGCACAGGGATTATTGGCAAATATCAGTTCCCATTTGCCAGGCTTGGAGGGGCTTTAGCCACATGGATTAGCCAGGAACAGAGGGAGGGACACAAAGCACCGGGATGGGACAGAGCAGAACTGACTCCTTTGAACGCAGGGCTGCAGCAAAATCCTGCAGACAAGGATCCTCCAGCCTCCAAAGGAAAGGCCTGGGTGGGAAGGGCTGTGGAATCCTAATTAGCTTTTTGATATTAATGACTTGGCACAGAAGCAAACAAGGCAGTAACAGTGCCTGGCACAGCTCCTGCTGCCACATCCCAGTCCCAGCACTGGGCAGCCTGCACGAGGGGCTTGGTGGCAGAGCCAGGAATGTGGGGACCCAAAGAAACAGCAGCAGAGGGGGGCACATGCCACTGTGGGACAGGAACTGCTCTGGGATGATGGCACAGGGAGGATGCAAAGCATGCAGGATGGGAGGGTACATAGCAGGACATGCTGTGGTTTCTGCCACCATCACTAGGACATGCCACCACTTGCACAGGGCCACCTTCCCTGCCAGGGCTTTCTGCAAGGCCAAGGCTGAGTCACTTCATCCCAGCAGCCCAAGGGCAGGGCACCCATCACCAGCTGTGCCAACAGGTGCCTGCTGGCTTGGAAACACAAGGTGTGCAAATAAGTCTTTGTGTTGGACATCTGTGTCTAATCCCCTTTTAGGGGCTCCAAAAGCTTTTGGGGCACCCAGCAGGCAAACCAGGAGGAGCCATGGGGTGCAGCCAAGGGCCCATGCCAGGGTGCTGGCAACACTCTGTTATATTCATGAGAGCTGTTAATTTTTAAATGCTGCAGGGCAGGGAGGGGATGAGCCTCCCTCTTGCCCAGGAACACTCAGTGACCAACAACTTCTTGTGTCAGCTGCTCAAGGAGGCAAAGGGCTCCCCACACATCCCCTCCAGCACTCTGGGTGCAAACCTAAGAGCCACCCACCAGCAGCTGCTGGATGCACAACCCAGCCACAGTCCCACCACCCCTGAGCTCAGTGTGATGCCAAAAACAAGCAACACAAGCACTTCTGTGCTGAGGCATCACTTCAGACACAGCTTTTGAGTCCAGCTCACCTCTCCCCTGCCTATACCAGAATATCCAGCAACAAGCCCAGCCTGGGAGGACACAAAGTCTACCCCAATACCTGACTAACTTAACTCGACTTATCAACACAGCCCCACAAACAACACCACACCCTCCCCTTTACTGCTTTAACCTCTTATAAACCCTCCTGGAAAGGCAGGAATTGCTGTGTGCTGTGCTGAGCCACCAGAAGTTGATTAAGCCGTAATTAATTGCATTAAGGTCAGCCAATGTACTCTGTTGAGGAAGAAAGCCAATAATTAAACTCCACGTGTGGTGTGCTTCTGCCATTAGCTCCCCAGGCTGCGGCGGCGGCGTTGGGCTCGGCGGGTCACAGCCAGCGCCGCTCGCCAGCACATGGCCCAGGCACTCGGGGAATAATGAAGTGCTGGGCATAAAACCATCAGCACTTGAGCGGCCGGGTGGCACAGCCCACCCAGCAGGGCTGGGGACAGCAGGGCGACACGGGGAGCATCCTCTGCAGGGCGCCCAGAGCAGGAGGTGGTGTGCCCGGCTGGCTGAGCCTTTCCCGGCAGGGCTGGGGCTGGCACGGGCCCTGCCCGGGAGGGAAAGGCTCGGGGAAGGCGACAATGGGGTTTTGTGTGGTCCCGACAGGAGCACCTGCCCCGCGCTGGGAGCCGGCCAGGGGCACCATATGGAGGGGAGCTGGCCCTGGCTCGGGGCCAGGCCGGGTGGGACACAGCCCCGAGCCCGGGATGGGACCCTGGGAGCCACCGCCCCTCCAGCCTGGCAATGAGACCAGGGGCACAGAGATGGTGGGCACCAGGTGGGTGTGAGCGCCGGTTTGGTCATGGCCACGCCAGCCCCAGGTGTGACACGGCCTGAGACACTGCAGGGGAGCCACAGAGGAGTCCAGCCTTGAGGAAAATCCTTGCCTTGCCCTGGGGCTGGGCAGCAGAGCAGGGAGTGACCGAGGGATGGGCAATGGGGTCCCGGCAGCTGGGGACAGGAAGGAGTGCAGGGCACTGGGGGCTCTGCCCCGTCAATCCCGCCCTGGCAGCAAGCTCATTTAAGGCTTTTCTTTGCTCCCAGCTGAAAAAATAAAGGCCAAGGTAATCTGCCTGCCTGTCCCTCTTTGTCTCGGGGATAATAGCAGTCAGCGCAGTGTGGAGCCCCCCAGGGCTTTGCAGATTAGAGCTTTCAGAGATGTCTACAGTGAGTGCCTGGACAAAAACGAGAGGTGGTGGAGTAGAGCAGGACGAAGGGGACCTCACAAGGTCACCCACTCCCTGCCTGACAGAGATCTCCCCTCTCCGTCCCCTGCCAGTGGCCAGGTGGGTGATGGGATGGTGGCCAGCAGATGGGACAGTGGCACAGTGCTCCTCTGGGCCTCCCAGCTCCAAAGGCTGACCTCTCTGAGGGCAGAGTTATAATTATGTCACAACAGCTTTTTGTTTTATAATTTACATTTTGATGATTCTGATTGTTACACATCTGAACTGGGGATGGAAATAGAGACAAAACCACATAACCTGCCACAGAAACCACAACAGTGTGAGCTGCTGCTCCTGTACTCACAAGGACTTCTCTGCAGGCCACCTACAGAGCCAAAATGACTGGCTGGAGACATGGGAATCGCCGTGCAGGGCTGAGCTGCAGCTGGCTTTTCAATAACTCAAAGGGTCAAGACACCAGAGAAAAAATCCCAAACCAGTTCCCCTATTTCTCATGAGTTTTGTCTGGCAGGAGGCGTTCCAGCCCCGGCAACGAATATCCACTCAGGAATGTCTCATGTTTAAAAGCACACACACAAAAAAAGGGGGGAGGTGGGAGGAAACCCTACGCCCGGCCTTCTTTCCGTGTGGCCGAGTCCAAGCGGCTCGGAGAGGGCAGGCAGGGGCAGGCAGGGGCTCGC